CAAAAGTGCACCAATTTTTTAACACATAACATTGTCAAATTTCATTAATACATGCCTTATTTTTGGCCTTTGTAAAATATCACAATAATTGTGGACTTATAACTGTAGAGCCTGATGATGAAGTTATTGAAAACAATTGTTCGCTCGAATATTCTTCATTTTTGATATTTATTAAAGGAACTCTCAACTTTGAGACAGTTAGTAAACACTTTGCAAATTAGACATTTACCGTATGGTTCTCATATTTCGCTAAGTTTTCCTGTAGTTTTGTGTTCAAATACATTCAAATGTCCCCACTTGTGTTCTCTTTCACTACATTACTAATAACGAAGTAGATCATAATTCCGCATATTTTTTTGCAAAGGTCAACAGAGAAGGTTTTTTCTGTGAACAGCTCCTAGCCGGTTATTATTTTTTTGCATCCGGTTACGTTCTCATCATTAGTACAGTACTTAGTTTTGTAATGAAGAACTTTGTAGGAACCATCGTATGCAGCTTCATGAGGTGGGTGTAATTAAGTGTAGATTGTAAGGAGGTTCAGACGGAAAAATCCGCTGATTATTGTAAAGTACGATCAGGTCTAACTGAACAAACAGCATTTGTCAGCCTATTCGTCTAGAAGTTTAGATCCATGTTCAGCAAAGAAGATTTAGGGTGTACGAACTCTCCTGGAAGTTGGATGGACTTTTTGGAGTTCACGGTCCGCAATTATGATTGGTAGGTTCCGAAAATTGCTATCTATCGTGTGACGGAAACGCGCGCCACTGTTTCAACATGAATGTTTTTGATAGTTACTGCTTCTGACTGTCGTGTAAAACCGTAACATGTTCGAGACCCTAAACCATCAACTTCTCTTTTCGATTACTGGATCGTCTTAATCCAATTTTTGGTTGTCGCCATCTACTTTCGTTACTAAAAGTGCTTACCAAGTCGTCAGCTAACTTTTTACTTCTTTTCTACCCCAGTTTATCTAACTTACTGCTGATAATTCTACCTACCAAAGACTGAGCGTTACAAAACGGCTCACATACGTTAAGAATTATGAATACCCATTCGAATCTTGTAAGTTCCAACCAAATTAAGGTGAACATGGTAAAAGCAGACGTCAAGAGTTGAGAAAAGGCCTTAGGAACATCTATTATGTATAATTTCTCTAGATTTCTGGCAGCTTACACTTGAGTGTGCTCACTTCACTACGTCATCATTCGTACCAGGCCAGCAAAATCCCATAACTATAAGCTTGACAAATTTATAATCTTAGGATTAGGTCTATTATTAGAGCAGTATTAGTAACGAAGTAGATCGAAATTGCAAACCTACTTATGCCGAAGTGGATCATTAATCTACAATATTACAGAAATCTGTAATTTTGTTTAGTGTCGTTTAAGGTTTTTTTTTTGACAAAGGAAGCCTCAGCACTAAGGTTACATGTATTCTTCGGAATCCGACCGACAGATGAAGCCGGTTTGTCTGCTAAGTTATGTTGGGATGAACTGAAAAGCGCTTTCACCTGTTGGGGGAAGATAAAAAAGGTTATTTAAAGAGATTTTCGTTGAACGTTCACTGGTCATTTACCTCTTGTATAGGTAGCAACATTTCTATTGCTAATCTGATTTGAAGTTTGACGTGTGGAATTTCTAGTCTAACATTTGTCGATCAACTATGCCTATCCTTCTAAATATAGTTTTTTTGTGAGATGCCACAATTTTCAGAAACATCACCTGTAAATACACCAGATGCAACGTACCTATAAAAATTCCATGTAAACACCTTCACTACAATGGTGAGTTGCTCACATGGGTCAGCGACGTCGTGCCCGTAGAGGTTAGTCTTTGCATATTAAAACTAGCCTTCAATATTTTTAGGTTAAAATGACATGAGTAGAAACTAAAGGTGCACAGGAGTCCTGTTTCTGGACGGCTTAAACTTGCGTTACGACATAATGATGGCAGAATATAAAGCATGATAAAAAATATATTAAAACGAAAGTTATATGCGAAAATATGTACAATTTTACAAGGAACGGACGTACATTTTATCGTTTGGTGTGCAATATTATGTCGGACCAACCACTAAATATGTCACGATATTCAGGGCTTGAGGTGCGTGTATCCGTTACAACCTCATAATCGAAGGATCTCAAACCCATTCAAACCAAGAATCAGGGACAAAGGAGTTTATCAGTAAAAAGATAACCTGTATGAAGAGTACCTCTGGCTGCTATGACGTGGAGAACCATTAGGCATGATGCAACAATGTACTCAAGGACATCGTTTGACAGTTCAATAAATGAACGGTTGTGATGTTCTGTTTAGACTTCAGTGTAGTGCATCTAAGGCATGTTTAGGATAGTCAAGTGAAAGGATTCTGTTAGAGCTGAACAGGATCGACAGTTTTAACATGACTACTTGAACGAACTAGGTCCTGATTAAATCTACAGTTTCAAAAAAGTTATCAACAATTTAGAACTGTGCGACTATGAAAGAAAAACTTTGTCGACTTAGTTTTCAGCACATTGCCATTTGTTCCCTGTTTTATTCGAATAAATGATAGTGATAGTTATTTTGTGTTTTTCTGATTGTCAGATAGTGCACATAACACGGGAATTCGCCAGCCACGAGAAGTATGTTGATACTTGATTGATAGAAAGATAGTAGACACTTGTGAACAAGTTACTCTCAGGGTTTGTTCGCATGTGGTATATATTCAGTTATCTCAATAATTTTTACCTTTCAAAACCTTGGTCCATATTCCACTTCTTACTCTATAAGGTAGCATGCACAGCAATAGCGCATCCACCAGTACTTACACTATGACTAAAAGAACGATTAGAAGAGGTAAAGGTCTAAATTCAGTGATTAATAGTAGTTCAAAAATTCCCGTTTCTAGCAACAGGATTATAAGAAAGCTCAAGATGACACCAGTTAAAAAACTTCGTAGTAATATGTACGAATTGGATAGCTAAACTCAGACACCAAAACCGAACCCCAAATGAAGTAATTTGAGTGACAGACTTTCCCAGGGCCAAAAATCAGCCAAAGACAAACTCTCTCAACTGAGGGCAACTATGGATTCAGAACACACTATAAAGGCTATCCCAGAGACCACTGGGTGAGGAATACTCTCACAAAAACAGCTAAAATTTCACCAGAAACCCAATAGCTAACCAATATAGTAGCTTACGTAGTGCTTGAGCTGTTAAAGGATATGTGAATTCAATCTCACTAACGCAATATACAATTGCGGAGTCGGCTATCGTGTGGCATAGGCCTTTGCACCATTACGACAGTTAGTGTGTCCTGTAAATTTCGTCCGTCTTACTTCACGATCATTAAGTCTTCGCGTTCAAAGGCTGTGAACTAAACGGAGGTCATTCAGGCCTCTCCAATCGCATCAGATGTCAAGAGAGCCGACCTCGGTTGGTAAGGCAACAACAGAATAGCCCCATGAAACACACCTTTTGGTAAGTGGATTTTAATCGACAACCCATGGTACAGAACGCAAAAACCACTGTCCCTCTAATGAGATACAATATACAGACAAAAATCCTACACACTTTAGATAACAATCTGCTTAAGACCTAGAAGACAGACGCTGCGGTAGAGGAGCATCATGTGATGAGATAAATCATCAAGTGCTTCTATAGCAACGTAAGAAGACTAAGGAGTAAATTATGGGCAATCCGAATTGTATGCTTTCAGTCATATATGACTATCAAATTCTTAACTGAAATGTGGCTGTCATCATGTAAGACAGGAGTAGAGATGAGAAATAAATTAGCAGTCACATTAGGCTGTAACAACACACAGTACCAAATTAGCCGAGGTGACAGCACCTAGTTGCCTCAGAGCGAACAGGAATATACGGTTCCCAAAGGTTCTAACACCGCAAAAGAAGAGACAATGTTGAGTATATTAAAGCTATCACACCTGGTATCTGACCAAATACTACTAGCTGAAGATTTCAATACTCCACGCCCGAAACTTAGCAAACAGGATAAACCTTTACAGGGTGGTTCCATAGGCAGCTTACTACAGCCATTAAAAGTTCAGGAATGACTTGACATGTGGGTGGCACCATGATATGAAGCAGAGATGGAAAATACCCACGGGCATATTATCAGAACATCAACATCACGGTCCTCAGTTCAACCGTCGAAAAATTGAGCATCAAAAAGCAAATACTCAGTAACGATCTCAATTGTTCATGCTTAAAGCTACCCTCATTTTAAATGCTTTCTCAGTTGAAGTGACCACAGCCACATTAGTCGGCAACTTTAATTGGAGAGTTGACAAACACGTACTTACTAATGAATTACCATCACCCTATTGAGCCAGTTTTACCTGATGTATGTCTCACAAATTACTAAGGTTATCATATACGCATATCAGTAGCTATTTCCTATGTCCTCCAACTTCTCACCTATTACCAACTAATAGACTTATTTATCATTCTTGAAACAATTGTCTTCTCTTAGAACTAAAATAATCACTTTATTACTTTCAGATTGCAGTCAAGCAACCTCTAACCTGGTGATGTGATGACTATTGGTACTCAGAAACTTCACTATTCCGAGACAATTGTACTCGATCACACTATCAGGTACTCATATACATAAATAACTATCGAACTGACTAGAATTAGTGCAATGGTGTAACAAAACTGCCACCTATTTAAACCTCATCAAATATCTGGAGCCGTGCCGAAATAACGAGAAGCGAGCGTCAAGAACTTAATCAGTTAACTCAATCCGGTTACGAAGACACTAAAGATACAATCTACTTTTGGTCTAGCTAATCCCTTAAGAAAGTCATACAAAGTCTCCAACGGAGATAGAAAAGTTGCGAATTTTTAGAAGCCTGCAAAGGTGGTTCAGGAATTTTCTTGTTGGTTACTGATGAAAACGTCTAAGGTTTAAAATAATATTTAGTTGCGTCAGAGATAAATAATTTTATTATGACCTTCAGGTCACTGGAAAGCGATATTTAGAAATTTGGCTCATGCTGAGTTTCGGTCTTTTCGTTTCCACTTGTTCAGACAATTCTGAGGTATTTACAAGTTAGCAAATGAGTCAAAATATTTTAAAAAGCTTACTCTATGTACTTGTGAAGAGGAATATGTACGTAGTAACATTTTCATCAAGTAAAATTACGGATATTCATCAATGCTTTCAGTGTAAATTTTTCGGGAAAAGTTAACAATGTTGTTGAACTGTCATTCACATGTAGATATCGTTGACAACTATTCATGCTAAAAATGTTGATAAATTTTAAATAAACCATTATTTTGACTCTTGTCGAGTGCTCAAATAATTTGGTTGCTCTGTGGTACAAAAATCGAATTTCCTAAGTTTATAGGTAGTTGTGAACTAGTCCATTAAGTTTTGCGAAAAGCTGGCTATTCGATGCGTTAATATTCGCGAAAGGTAAACAATTTAATCTCAATACTGAAGAGAAGTATACAGTTTGATATTAATTTTGCTTAGTATTCAGATTGCATATATTTCTCAGTTTCTATTTGCTTTGGTTTAAATGCCTTTAATCAGTTGCTTAAGGATTGCTTAGCCAAAAATATAGATTACCTGGCAGTGGTTGTATGCACGTGGCCATGTTAGGGCATTTCGAAAGGGAGAGCAGACTATCCCCATCCTCGATCTTATCAGGGCATTAAGAGGCTCTGCCACCCTTAATATTATCTTAATTTTGTGAGGTATTTTCGGTTCTTTATTGTGATTGGATTTCTGTGTTTAAATAAATAAATATGTTAGCTATAGGTGAACATAAATCGGTAAATAGTCTAGTCGTGTGTAAAATAGTTAGGCCTACTTATCTTTTGGCCATGATTTTCGAAAGGGTGTTTGAAGGTCCAAGTAGCTTTGGAATTTATTAATCCATTTTTTTTCGCATGAACGTATTCTTTTCTCATTTAATAAGGTTACAAAATCACTTATTTGATGTCTGTATATTATTGTTACATTTCTTTGTCAAATTTACGCAGGTCAGAGATCTGAATGCAGTCGAACTTCAAGATGTTTTAAACACTAATATTTCTTCAACGTTTTATCACACTATCGAAACAAGCTATTGGAAAGCTGCAAGACTTTCCAAGGGATGGATTTTAATATTTAGTTCGTTTTTTGCACTTAATGATCCATTTGCAAAAAATTCACATCAATTTCTAATTCAATCTAATACAGGATGCAACATCCTTTTCTGCTCCGGCCAGATACGCTCATCAAGCGATATAACTCTTGCAAAACACCTCGACTCTGAGAATGTTAGTATTGGCCAGGTTCTACTAGATGCATTTTCTAAGGAAAAGAACGTAAATGCTGTTGTCAATTTAATTAATTCTTTGATTGGTTCTTTTGTACTTATATTTGTTAGCGTAAGTTATAGTCAATACTTACAATTTAAAAACGTTTAGGTCGAATCAGACAGGGTTTATTTCACTCGAGATCAACTCGGTCGTCATTCAATTGTTGCCAGAAAGTTTTCAGGACTACCTAATGAATTATTTTGTATCGATTCAGTTTCAAGTATTGTTATTCCAACCCAGTCTTCTTTTCCGGAAGTTAGTTTGGATTCGCTTGTAAGCTAATTTCTGTAACTGCTCAACAGTGGATTTTTCTATATTAATGTCCTATTTTCGCCATTATCGTGTCTTCAATATTTGTATTCATTTTTGAGTTTATTGTTCTCCATTCAATTTCCTGAAATAATAGATACTTTAAGTCTAAACCTCTAAATGTTCATCCAGTTTATTAACTGAAAGCGTATTAGAAAACCTCACATGTTATTGTTTAAAATTTGCCTAAGTTGCCATGGAGCATTTAAATGAATGTGTGGAAAAAGTGATGACATAACTGCAAACGAAGCTAGCTTAGAAATGTTACAAACTGGCAGGTAGAATCGATGTTCTCACATCTTAATCAGTCCAGATTCATTTTCTTATGAACTTCGCGAGACGATCCTCTTTTTTTAGATCGCCATAAGCTGGATAAATAGGCTTGCTTCTGATTTAATTGATCAGCAATTTCATATATTGGTCAACAGCTTTATTTCACTGCCACTCAATGGGTATAATCTGCATTTAAGTATCTATGTGTATTCGGATACCAGATTGTTTACTACTACCCTTTCGTTTTTGTCATGTGGTTATTATTTTTGTTGTTGTGATAAATGATAACTAATTCATACATTTTAATCAGTTGAAATCATTTTTATTTAGGAAAAAGACGCGAAGGATTGGTTTGAAATACCTGCTTGTGGAATATTCGTATCGAAAATCGTCTGTGACAATGGGAATGTTTTTCTGTCAGATATTAATCTATATCCTTGGTCTGAGCAGCATTTACTTCTGTGCTCTTCAAATATCCCAGTTAAAGTTAACAGAGTTTTGCATGTAAATCAAACTTATTGTAATAGCCTTTCTACAAAATTGTGTATACCCACAACTTTAAAAGAAGTACAACAGAAGCTTTTGGATTTATTATCTGCTGTTATACACGATTCAGTTAATTTTGACTTGTTATATGGTACAAATTACTCTTTCAATGTATCTGATGTATTGGGTGAGAATCGGTCAGGTTCTTTATTCGGTTTACTGTTTAGTGGCGGTCTAGACTCATCTGTTATCGCAGCATTACTTGACAGGTCTGTCAGTTACACATCACTTTTACATGTGGTATGTTTTTTCTCCCTAAATGGGGATTCATTTTCAAATTCGAAAAAATTGCTAGTATTTGTTGCCACGAAATCCCTTCTAGTTTACATAAAGTGACATCATTAAAAACTATTAGTGTAAAAAATTAAATAACTAAACAGCTACATCATATAAGAACCTAAAACTGTTGGTGTTACTCCACTCAATCATTTCTAATTCAATTGGCGCAACAGGATATTGTTTAAATTTTCGCTCACAAATCTGTCGACATTGGGTGAATTCCACAAGGTTTTAGGTTGTAAACATTATTAGGCAAACTTATACTCAACTTACTCAACTATCGAGTTAAAGGCTTGAACCCTGCTTTACTAAATTCGGTTTCGTTTTATTTATTTATTTATTTTAACACATAGGTATTGGTACAAGGAGGCACCAAATACATATGCGCCACACGAATCTCAATTGATTTGTGTGAGGGCTGTAATACTGCTCGGGTGCCCAAACCGAAGCAGGTGGTTTTCTTAGGGGGCCACACCCCGAGCCTTTGACCTGAACGTCTGATCCACAAGGCAAAGGAGCATCGTGAGGAGATGCGGTCCTATGGTAGCCGGTGACCAACGATTGGTTCATACGCCATTTGTTCCTTCAGGATACTGGAGCCCATGTGCACCATTGGTTTGGGATCCGGTTAAAGCGCCAGACATTCGCTTTTCGTCTTCTCATTTTCGTAGACAACACCCCCGCCACGAGAAGGTAGTGAGTAGGACTTCCCTGTCAGGGGCTATGTACGCGTGGCCATGTGAGAGCATTTCGAGAGGGAGAGCGGACTCTCCCCACTCTCGGCCGTACCAGGGCATTTGGGGGCATTCGGTTTCGTTAACCGGATAGTATCACCGTTCCTCATATAATAATGTGACTCAGCTAATTATAAAAACCTATACTTGGTTACTAAATCTGTAAATAATTTATGTGTGTAAAGTCATCGTGATTCATAAATTTTGAGAGTAAACAAGATGCCATTGATTCATAAAAATATTACTAGGTTGTATTATCCAACGTTTTGTTGTTAATTTTTCATTTTAATGAAAGTGATTTATTGTGATATGAAGACAAACCAGCGTAAGAAATTTTTCTTTAGACGGTCTCATCTACTGAAACCTTACGATGATATTTTTGGCGATCTAATAAATATTAATCCATTGGAAAATAGATTATCTTATTTTGTGCAAAACTTCAATTACCAAAAAATATTGATTAATGGTTCAAAGGTCAAAGAACAAGAGTAAAATAAACAAACTTACGGATCAGGAAGAAATATGGGTGATGGTTGTTCACTTGATTAATGGTTCAAAGGCCAAAGAACAAGAGTAAAATAAACAAACTTACGGATCAGGAAGAAATATGGGTGATGGTTGTTCACTTGACGAGTGCGAAAAAGAAATAAAGTGCGTGGTGATAATACCAGCTGAATAGTGGTTACAAAAATTTGCGAGAACTTAGATAACTGACTAATTTGTAAAAGAAAACAAGAGGAAAAGATGGAAGAGATGCTAGGGCTGTAGTAAAATAAGAGACTACACTTGATTATTTTGGACAGAGATTTTGTAAAGCCTCTAGATTTGACAAGTTTTTAGTTTATAATCCCTTAGAGCTTACTCACCTGACTATGTAAATAGTTTTGAAATGTAATTCTAGTGGAACGTGATCAGAATTTGTTAAGTAATGAGCAATATAGTTATACAGTTTCAGGAAATGATGTCAGGAAGAAGTTCCCTTCACTGAATTATCTTTATCTCAAATTTTTAATTTTATTACTGATTTACTTGTTTGATGATGTTGAGTTCTTACAAAACGTAACATCTTAAAATCATCTTAATTTACTGGTATTTAGACTCTTGATTGTTTTGGAAATGTGGCCATCTCAACGTATCATTAATGTAACCAAATGTTAATTAAATATATACTAATACTAGCAGGAAATGAGACGGTGTTAATTCTAACTTGAACAATTGAAAATACATTTTATCTTACTATGGAGTAAGATGCGGTAACTTGAACCTATATACACATGTCTCAAGCTCTATGTTGTGTATTACTGACTAACTGGAGATACAGACTTCAAATTCTGGAAATGCTTGTGGTTATATACTCTATATTCTCCTTCTGAATTTAAACTGTACATCGTGTACAGGCTACCTATAGCTACCCATTTAAACTATTAGTTCCATTCTTTCATTTTACTGCGCTGATACAAACATTGAGTAAACTCAGGTCTTTGATAATGAAAAGATACAACATTTACTCGTCAATTAATTTCAGTGATCATTTTGCAAAGCCTTACGCTCGATGAAAACAGACTTTAACTTTCGCAAACACGTGTTTTATCTTTACCACGGGCTTATTAATTTGTGCTATCGAATTATAAAGTTGTTGTTAGTCATTATAGATGATTATTTGGGCATCTGAAACTTTTTATAACTCATCATTTGGTAATCATGTTTCAGCGAATTAAGTTATTTTCTGTAAACAAGTGCACTCTGCATGTTGTTATTCCCTTGTAGATGTGTTCCTGAAGACCAGTCCATCGATCTGATTAATGTCGCTTTTCAAAGATGTACTGGTGTTTCTGTTAACAATAGGTCAGTTAATTTTCATGATGCTTTCTTTCCAGTTTCATCTTCCCGAATTCGTTCAGTTAGTTAGAGATGGTTTGCATCACCAATCCATATCGCTTCATCAAAGTTTAATAAATCAATTTTGCGTAGTCAAGCAGTATGCTTTTACAATTAACTTGGTATCAGGCTGACAGTTTACTTTAAGCTAGTTAATATATATATATATATATATATATATATATATATATATGCATGCTTTGGTGTGCTGCTGTGTCGAGATAGTCTCCGGCAATCGAAAGGAGATAATTTCACTGTCACAATGTGCCGATGAATATGCTGTGGCATTACATTGCTAAGATATTTTTAAGAATAGTCAGCATCTCCGTTATTAGTTCCTTGTGGTTATGTAAGAGAATGTGAGAGCTGTACAACCCTTTTCATGTGTCTCAATGAAGTCCCGTATTTTAGAACCAAGTTATGAGAATCATTTGTATCCTTCAATTTTGATCCTGATGGTTTAATTCTGATATTCTGGAAATGATTTTACAAGAACTACATCTTAGTAATGTTAGTCTGTTGTCCAGAGGAAGACTGTTGACTTTGTGTGTGTGTATTAAGTCTCTTTACAGTGAGATTATTTATGCATTGGCCAATCGAAACTAGTCATTTGGTGATCCATATATTATAACGACTTTTCACCATCGAAGTGTGAGGAATTTCTGCTAGACCAAGTTTCTGTTCTATCATTTGCTTTTAATGATGAATCTTCGCTAATAGCTCAGGTGTTTGTTGATTTTGGCAGTTGTGTGGTTGGTTATTGTAATGGGATGATAACGTGTGTTTAGGCAATCGTTGGTGATCTAGAAAGTAGTATGATCTAGAAGAAAGGGATTCAGTAATTTGGTCAAATTTTACGCATATCATTACTGTGGCTTTCATACCACACATCACCAGTCGTTTCTGGAATTGATTGGAAAGAGTGAGGGTAGTCAGTTTATAATATGGTGCTGTGAAACAGACAGTAACTGTGTTGGGTTTGCAACGGTTGGCTAGTCGTAACTCCATTAATGGGGTCCCAGATATCATATAACCTAGTTGTTTAATATGTTATCATATATAGCTTAAAATAAAAGGCAATGAAGATCCTCTCCTAGTTTTTGTTATGTTTTTCCTAAGTAAGAAAATGATGTACCAAATGAATGAAATCTATCTTAACTGCATTCCGGTTTGAACTTCATCCTTCAAAACTTTTCATTATTTTTCTTACTATCATTTAACTACTACCAGATCAACACATTGTCACAAAACGAGTTTCACTTGTTGGCATTATAAACAACTGACATTAATGGGGTTTTTAATTAGTTCAGTCCATGCAATGTAGTATGGAATGAAGGTTCCTATACCAAATCAAGACAGGATCATTGAAGGTATATTCTTGTAAGTACTTACAAACCTAAAAGTCTTCTAAGAACTAGGTACGACAGTATACAATTCTGTGCGGAATTTAATGTATTTTAGTTGTACTTCGCATTTTTGTTCTTGTTATCAGTGTATCATTTCGTTTCATTTGACGGATTTCTCTAAGCCTAACTGTACTAAGCTGTCTTCTGTGTCCAGAATAAATCAATGAATATAACACAGGATAAAATTTGTTTCACCTTTTTGTAACAAATATTTAGCATTTGAGTTATTTAAAACATTATCAAATAAGCTAGTTCCTATAGGTCCGATATTTGGGACACATCATTCGTTTTCTTAAGATTCTGAAATAATTACTCTTCATTTGTTTAGGAAGAAAGGCTTCTAGCGCCTAAACAATGGGGATAATCATTTTCGTCTTAATAATCGATATTTAAAGGTTTTATGTAATAATTCAGAGTGAATTTTTTCATAGCAAAATAGAAAAATGACTTTCCTTTCAAAACAGCAGTTCGACAGAACTTCGTGGTTTACAGTTACTATTCGAATGATGTAGTTTTATTTTCTAATTTGTTTTCTCAACTAATGAGTAGTTTTTATATACGTAGGTTGTAAAGCTTTTAGCTTCCACTTCGGTCTTCTTTTTTTCCCGTTTCTTTATCATTAGTGATTGCTTCGACAAAGGCAGTCTAATTTCTGCCGAAGAGGCCCCTGATAGACAAACTGCCCTAAAGAGTTACGGAGATTTGTGCAAATTATCTGCCCGACGTAAATGGAATTTGATAAAAGTAAGTCTGTGTAACCATGTCTGGCCAATTGATTACGATACGTAATCTTTTCTGTAATTTTTTTTATTATCTTATACTACTCTCTATTGGTAAGTAGCTCGAGTATTTTTAGTTATTTCAACCTTTTGTACAAGAACTACGGCTGACAGTTACTTGGGACGACCTTGGAATCGCGTTTGTGGATTCTTCTATTTTGACTTTAGGATCCATTCACTCCTGTTTATAGTGGAAATCTTCTTTATCTGACCACTGCGATCTACATTTTAATCTACAGAAATCTTATTTGACTTACTAATTCTCAAAAAGAGTGTACAATTCGTTTTTGATTGAATGTTCACGCCTTACTGAAGATGCTTCCGTTTTATAACCTACAGGTCATTTTTATATCTTATGTCATCTTTTTATGTGTAAATAATATTCGGATATCAAGAATTCCCGTTTATAAATTGTTATTATAGACCATTATTGAATGAAAATATGATTATTTGGATGTTGAGACCTTAATTAAATAATTTTTATTTTAATTTCACATATCGTGAGCAAGTATTGTAACTCTAAAAGTTCTTATTAATCCGAAAGTTAGCAGCTGTGAACTATTTTTAAAGTATATACTGGGTTTTTATTTGTTTCCATCAATAAAGGTAACTTAACATTCAGCATAACATGTAAGTAATATTGCTGTATTATAGTTAATTGATCAGTTAAATAAAATGTGTTTAGTGTATACAATTTAACAGTTGTCACTGTTTGCCCCCTTCTCCTCTTTTGATATCACTTGTACAGAGCTAAACATTGAACGTCATTCTGTATGTTGAATTTTATTTAAAACTATACCGCATTAGAGACTACAAGATTCTTTAGTGTACAAACATCAAATGTGGTTCATAATTGAAATCATCTCTGAGTGTTTCTGCCTATACTACTTGAATAAATATATATAACTGAAACTTACTAAGTTTCTTAATGGTGTTTTTATCTTCAATTGTGATTATTTCACTCTTTCTGATCATTTATACTCACCTACATTTTTTTCACTCTTGTAATATTGTTGTTGTTACATTACATGTTCATATTGTACGAAGTTTATGTTTTCATTATATAATAATCATAATCTGTCGTATATAAGAATCAATATACGTGTAGTAACGTGTTCAAATAGTTTTTTTCTGTTTTTCGATTAACATTAATGGCAAGAAATTGAAATTCAGTTCAGTAGTATTTACTTTCGAGCTTTAGCATACAACTAAATGAGGTATAACAAATTAAAAGTAATATAAGAAAGCTTTTTCGTAATATAATAATAACCAAGTTAAAAATTAATTCATTTATGTTGTGCTTACCTATTTTAAATGTCTTGCCATGAATTCTCCTACCACTTGTTCTTGATATCTCAATTCTCATACTTTTTAGACAGATGATTAAAATGTTATACGTTGATATTACGCATTGGTTTGAACGCTTTAGAGAGCATGATGAATGAATGTTTAAAGATATCTCATACTATTTTACAACGGTTTACTTAGCAAACGCAAGATTGTAGATGTGTGGCTTGACGATTATGAGGTTCTGCTTTTGACCACTAAGTTCCTGGTTCGAACCCCGGCCCAGAGTCTTGGTAGCATTGAGCAACAATGCCAGGATGTTTGGGATGCTCTTCTCTCCCTCTAAGTGCATGTTGTTGCTTCAGGACTGGTGTGCGTCAACACATAAACTAAGGATAGGGAGTGAAGTAGTCGAACACTTTGATAACTCCACTTATTTTGGAAGTCTGATCAACCCTAATGGGTTGGTGTCTGACGAAATCTCAACATGGATTCGAAAAGCTCGTTTGGCTTTTGCCAACTTATGTCATCTATGGCGAAGGCGAGATATCCGTCTATCAATTAAGGGACGAGTATACTGCGCGGCAGTTCGTTCCGTTCTACTATACGGCTGCGAAACATGGCCTTTGAGAGTAGAAGATATTCGTAAGTTACTAGTATTTCACAACAGGTACCTTAGAAATATTGCTGGGATCACCGGGTAAGTAATGGTGAGGTTAGACGCAGGGTATTAGGGAATGATCGTAAATCAGTTGATGAGGTTATGAATCTTCATCGACTGAGATGGTTGGGACACGTGCTGCGTATGCCTGAACACCGATTACCACGACGCGCAATGGTAACCGGTGTTAGGGATGACTGGAAGAAAGTTAGGGGTGGCCAAACCAAAACATGGCATCAGTGCTTGAAGTCACTAACTTCTGGTCTGAGCCATGTTGGTAGATGCAGACTACTTAGTTGGGGTCCGCGTGACTATCGTAACCAATGGTTGGAAATTTGGTGACATGGCTCAGAATCTATCACGATGGTGTCGGCGTATACACTCTCTGTCTTCCCTTAAACTATGAGGTTAAAATTGCTTTATATCTTTCCTTCTACCAACTAAATCTTTCTTCCTGTAGTGTATCTTTATATGCAATCTTTCGTTTATATATTACCACCATTGACTTAACTACTATGAATTTGGTGTTCATCTTGTTGTGCTAATGCGGTATGGCAACTTGGACCGATGCATATACGTGTCTGGTCCTACGTTGTAACTGACTGACCCCATTCTATACATACGAAATTTTTTTACTGTTTTCATTAATGAATTAATTTTCTTATTACTGATACGTCGTCAATATTATATACTACCAGTGTCCCATCAAAATTATCATTTTTAAGAAGACAAAAAAAAAAAATAACTGGTGCAAAAACTGGATTATTATTTCGACGTTATGACGAATTTTGAAAGACATTTTGGTTTGATCTCGTGGTATGCGTGAATAATTGTTAAACTGTAGATATAAATGTTACACGGTAGTTTCCCCTCTGTTAAACAGTCTCTGTGACTTATCTTGTTGATGAATGATTTCCCTGTTTTCTGTGTAAATAGAACTATTTGTTAGTTTGTGGGTGTTTATGGTTTCAGATCTTATTTTATCATTGGACATGTATTTGATGTTCAATTCTTTTTCACTTGATACGCATGATACGGAACAAGTTTTACCTCTCCCAGTTGTTTTGATCACTATTCGTTCTGTTTTCGTAACTCGCTGCAAAATGCCCTGGTACTTCCGAGAGTGTTGAGAGTCTGCTTCCCCTCTTAAAACGCTCATATGGCCATGGGTTCATAGTCTCTACCAAAAAAAATTTACTCTTTGCCTTCACTCAGCGGCATGTTGTTTACGAAGTTGAGAGAGCGAAAAGCGAACGTTCAGTGCTTGAAATGGTTTGGTGGGTTCGAGAATCTCACCTAGGAAAGTTAGAAATCCTCAATTCCAAAACGATGATATGCATAGACTCGAGGATTTTGAGAGGATAAATGGAATATGAACCTATTTTTGGTCGCTAGCTGCCATGGGAAACCGTTTACTAATGTTCATGCACCACTTAGTGGATTAGAAATCCAGGTCAAAGGCTGGCCAGTTGCCACCTAAGCAAATTATCTTTGGTTTAAACGCCCGGTTCGTATTCCAATTTACATGTGGTGCATACTACTTTTAATGCTTAGTCATCTCAGTTTATGAAAAAGGACAGAAATGCTCTTGTGATAACCAAAAAAGAGTTTGACTGATTCAGTGTCTAAAGTACTAACCCTATTAATCACCCGGTGCACATCTGGGACTCTTAAACAACTTACTTACTTACGCCTGTTACTCCCAATGGAGCATAGGCCGCCGACCAGTATTCTCCAACCCACTCTGTCCTGGGCCTTCTATTCTAGTTCCATCCATTTCTTGTTCATTTTTCTCATGTCTATCTCTATTTCCCGGCGTAATGTGTTCTTTGGTCTTCCTCTTTTTCTTTGGCCTTGAGGATTCCATGTGAGGGCTTGCCTTGTGATGCAGTTGGTTGCTTTCCTCAATATGTGTCCTATCCACTTCTAGTGCTTCTTCCTGATTTCTTCCTTCTCTGTAATCTGGTTTGTCCTCTTCCACAGTAGGTTGTTGCTGATTGTATCTAGCCAACAGATCATAAGTATTTTGCATAGACAGCTATTAATAAACACTTGTATCTTCTGGATGATTGCTTTCATAGTTCTTCGAGTTTCCGCCACATATAGTAGAACTTTCTTGACATTTGTATTGACTCTTGAACAACAAACCTTAGAAAATTAGGACGACTTCAGACGCGAAATTGCATATACTGTCCAAACATTCACCCTTTGTCGGTTTTTGGGATTTAGACATACCTACTGACGTTTAACCATAATAGTATCTCTCAGCCTTGAGGCAACATTCGTCTCCGTTTATCAACATGTTTTATGGCAGTGGCTGTGTACCAAAACTCTATTCGAAAATTGTGAAGCTCCTCTACTCTAACACTATTGGTCAAGTCAAAATTATAGTGAACTGTCATCTAAATTATCATCTTCAAGTTGTGTTTGCTAAAACTGCCCACTATCTGTCTTTTTATTTAATTTCGTTATCTTCCTAAAAACCACTCTTTCACCTAGCTTTTCATGGGTTAAACTCGTTCCAGAAGTTTTACTTAATGACTTACAATAAACTGGTGACGTTGTCCGGTTTTAGTGAAAAAGCTGATAGAATGTATAATCTGATTGCTTTAAGCAATAATGCAAGCATGTTTGGATCGCGCCCCCGTCCAAATGTAAATGTTGCTTCTGGACTGGTTCGTTCCAGTGTTTGGACTAATAATGGGGAGTGAGTTAGTTGAATGCACTGAATTTTCCACTCATTGTGGAAGTCCCATCAACCTTGGAGGGTCGGTGTCTGACGAAAAATTAGTTGACTTTTGTCAGCTCAGAAATAATGACGCAGATACATTCATTCCTTATCTCCCCTTAGATCTTGGGTTCGAAAATTAACTTATACTTTTTGTTCTACAAACCTATTCTTTCTTATTGAATCTTTTTTTACTATTTTCGAGTTTGTTTTTACTACCATTGATATTGTTACAACTCCTAATACTCTGGGATTTGTATTGATGATCTTATCTTGTTATACTCATATG